AAACCTCCCTCAATGAAACTTGAGGCTATTTCCTCTCTTTCTCTCCCTTTGTACTTGGGAGAAGAGACTGACCTCCAACTGGCTACAGGCTCCTATCAGGTAGTTGTAAAGAGCAATAAGGTCCCCCCTCAGACTCCTTTTCTACTGGCTAAATAACCCCAGCTCCTACAGCCTATCCTGATAAGACCCGTGGTCTACCAAAGAAAGTGGTGAGGGTGACAATTTTATAAAATAGGCAAAATTTTCAGGGGAAGTATTTCAGTGAAGTGTAGTGATCTATGAAAATGTGAAAAATATATCCCCCTCTAATTAACATATTTATGAAAACAAGCCTGACACTTAGACCTTTTCCATTTCCATGTTTATAGCATTTCACTGAGCATTTCAGTGGATATGTAATGCAATAAAACACTTTGAGCTTGTTTACACTATAAATTAACTGTTGTATCACTAGAGTTGGTGTGAATAATGGTCATAAAATTGTACAATAATTCAGGGTTGTCAGATGGAGAAACGCTATACAATGAAAGACACAGCTTTTGCAAAATTAAATTAAGTCTTTGAGGAGTTTGTCAATCCAGTCAGTTACTTTGTCAAGATAAAGAAAGTAGGTAGTAGAAGGCAAGGATGTAGTAAAATTAGGACAATAATTTTTAAAGGTAATGATTTAAAGTACATAGATGAAATTATTTATTTATTTGTTTTATGGACTTTTGTTATTCATGTTATTTGCTTTGGAGGAGAGGGAAATACCTTACAATTTTTTTGCCATGTATGCTTTCCTACCATGACAAACTACTGAAAGTCTTTGAAATATAGAAAGTTGGTTGTCTTTTCCCCAAGGAGGTTGGGCTGTCTCCACCCCTGAAGGCTTTCCTCCCTTGACTTTGTAAAGCCTTGATCACCTGAGTTTAATCCTGTGCTTGAGCCTTCTCAGGGCAGGGGCTGGGACTGCAGACATTCCCAGATCCCTAGCACACTATGGTAGCCTGTGATCCTTTGATTTTCTGGGATACAACCATTTGCCTTAAGCTTTTTATGCCAGATAGCAAAATAATCCTTAAGGATGACAGTTTGGAAGGCAGTTGTGATTCTTGTTCATGATTGTGACTCAGCTGTAAAATCAAGTGCTGTATAGGTATGTGAAGGCTTAAACAGCATCAAAACTATACTTATATGGTGCCACATCCCTATGGTCCTTTATCCTCCATGCCAAAATCATGAACTATCCAAGGACAAGAATGTATTTACCTGTTGGTGAATGATTAAATTACTATCTGTCAACTGAGATGAACTGAGTACAAAGGCTGTCTCATAGCCTGTGGCAAATAGAAAAGAGAAATATGTTCATCGAAACCACTGAGTAAGTTTACTTGATTAGTGTGACACCTGGGGACAGTTTACTTTCATATCTCTGAAACGTGGCTTAACAAAGTATTTTTTCTTTTTATATATTCTGATGTTATTTGCTTTCAAGGCCTTCAGTGTTATGTTGTTACACAGAGCCTTAAAAGTAAAAACTCATGTACAGTATGGGGCATAAGAAAGGCATAGCGTAGCTTAGTTTTCAAAGAGAGTATCTTTTATCAACTGAAAAGTGGAAGATTAGACTATGGGGGTGAGGAATACTGAAAATTCCTCAGGAAGCTGGTGAACAGCAATGTGACTTTCTTGTCTTTGCTGGGGAGGGTGTCCTTCCTGCTTGTCAAAGACAAGGTGGTGCAGTGAGAGAGAAGGTCTTGTCCCTCCCTGGATGGCAAGCCATCGACTTTTTTTTTTCTTTCTATCTTATGAAGCCAGGAGTGATGTCTCATGGCAGCACCTTTCCTAGTGTACTGCAGGGGAAACGGATGCTTATCTTCTTAATTCCAGCAGGCCTTAGCAGTCATTTTTACTTAACTCTGGCTGCACTGAGAGTTGTCTGCACTCACAGATGCTCATTGTGTTTGACGCCTAAAAATGAAAACATGGGAAAACAAGTATAAAATGTATCAGCTTCTTTACTCATACTTTCATATTGTCTCCTAGAAGCAAGAGTAATTTGAGATAGAGTTTGAATTTCTTGCTGATTGCCCTGCTAATTTGTGATAAATTATACTTAAAGTGTACCAGGTTACATGACAAAGTAAGAGTAAAGTCTGGCTTGAAACTACTTGGTATAAACTGTTCATCCATGGGGCAAAAAATTATCGAGGCATCAGTTTCTGCACTGTTGGATCAGTCAGCACCAAGAAGAGCATAGAAGAAGATATGCTTACTGTAGCTGCGAGGTGCATTTCGTGGAAATGGTATGTGTAACTGAGCTTTACTCTGTAGTAACAACAACAACATCAACAACAACAAACTAAGGGAACTTATAACCAGAAGCTACTTAAATGAAAATGTTGAAAAGTTCAGTTTTGTTACATAAACGTGGTGGGATTTTACTTGCTTCTTGTTGTGTATCTTTTCTTACAACTTCTAGCTTAGGAAGTGGTTTGGTTTCCGTGGGTTTTTTTGGGGTGTGTTTTTTGTTGTTGTTGTTGAATTTTCACAGAGTTATTTACTGGGACAATTGAATGCAAAGTGAACTAGACAGACAATGAGTCTGGCTTATGTCTTTCTCCATCACTCTGGAAGAAAGGGTTCATGTTGTTCATTAATGATATTGTACAGATGAGGACAAAGAAAGATTTAAAGTTTCTTAATATGGTTTTTTCTTCCTTAGTTTCTGTGGCTTTCCAAAAACGCCTCTTGGTCCTACTTTCAGAAGAACATTACTCCAATGTCTCTTTGTTCATTCAGTGTTCTGCTTATAAATTAAGTTATTCATATAATTTACTCCTATAATGGTCATGGTTCTCATGTCTTTTGCAAAGCTATTTGCATCCAATCAAAACAGAGGAGTGCTTTATAATTATTGACACTGGTAAGAGAATTGGATCATCACAGGCCATCTCAGGGCTATGTCTTTCGTCTTGAGGATCAGAGGCTTCTCTGTGTTTAAGTGCAGAGTTACATAGGTTGATGCTGTCATGCAGAATAAAATTTTTTGATTTTTCAACTCTGCTAAGTGAATAATTCAAGAAGTTGCTTCTCATATTCATCTGCAGAAATCGTTTTCTTTCTCAAAATCATTGAGACCTCGCTGGTGAATGTGTTAGTAACATCTACTGCTCAAAAACAGATTGAGAATCAATCTGTAAAAATCACGATAAATGAGTAGTTAACATAAACCAAGGCTAAGTCTGACTGGAAAATTATAATAACTGTATATTGTCCCTATACTGGAAAATTCTTTGCTAAGTTTCTTTTTATAATATGAAAACCAATTGTTTAAACTACCATCAGTCTTTAAATCCTGGATCCAGATATTAGGAGTAAAGGCAAATTGTTGTGCAAGAGCTAAAAAATCACTTTCCTTTGTGCTTCTTTATAGTGAATTTTAACAGGGGAAAACTTCTAAGGTTATTTTCTAGTAGGCCTCATTCAGTTTCAAATCTCTGTGATTCCCAGGCTATGCTGTTTGAGCGTTATTGAATCCATCTGCTACCAAACTGACACTTCATTTAGCTACACATCTGTAGTAGTTTTACACTGAGACCATTGCTGTGTAAAGTAATTCTCTCTGATAATCTGAATTTAAGTATGTATGGTTTGCAGAAGCAGAGAATACCTATTAGAAGAACATTACAGTTCACCCCCCCCCGGGTGAACATTCCCATTGTAACACCAGCAAGAAGGATGGTAGTCCATAGAAAAGTCCATATGCAGAGAAATATATTTTGGGCATTTCTTGTAGGTGATTAAGTTTACAAACTGACTTGGTATTTTAAAGGGTTGTGCTGTATTGTATCATGAAAAGAAACAGACATGCTGAATGGCTACATACTGTGCTGTACAATTGCACTCCTAGGAGTGCCCAAACCATGGGAAGTGCAGTATCTGACTCGAAGACTTGCCCTTCATGCTTCCTGCCTGAAACTGATGAAGATAGATGAAATTTCATGTGAAATGTGCTATTCAATGTGTATTTTATTGTGTACAAGAGACACATACGAGTCAAGACATGTTTATTAAGCTACAGAACAGGTGACACAGATTTCAAGGAACCTCACGTAGCAGGCAGAGGGAATCTCTCATTCTAGGTTGTGGGCTACAAAGAAGAAGTGATAGGAATTTAAGGACAAGTATTTGTTAATATGTTCTGTTCTTCTTTCTTGTCTTTTTTATGGAGCAATACTTATTATATTATTAATATGGGAATACAGTGAAAAGTAGATGGTTTTGATAGCAATTGCTTTCATGAATAAGGATATCACTTACCATTTAGTGTATTAACATGAAATTACATTCTCCTCTTGATTCATTCGGTGCATACATTATGAAAAAAACCCACTCTTTGGGGTCTACAGGGTTTGAGTCATATTAGTTTTTATGTTACATATTTTAATTTCACAATAGTTCTCACAGGCTAGGAACGCAAAGCCTATATTGTATTTAAACATACTGTCATATCCTCAGTGCAGTCATAAGTCTGTGAAAGCAGCGTAGGCCTTCGTGCTTTAAGGAAAGGCTAAAGAAACAGGACTTGACTTATCACTGCAAGTGCCACTAGTTGCGCGATCCGTTACATCTTTCTGGTCATTGCCTGAGAATAAGCTACCTCTCCTTTGCTGATTATGCAATATTATATTTAGGGAATGGAGGGAAAGGGAATGAAAAGGTACCCTTGTAAATGTGTTTACAGCTTGAGTATTTACCTCAACAACTCTCTTGTCCTTATTCAGTGATCTATGAGTTCCTCTTATTAGGATCATTACATCTTTCACAATGTTTCTGTTTCGCATAAAACAGGTTATATATAGTATGTTTGTTCAATAATGCTTCACGTAGAAAGTCAGGGAAATGACCTTTACCGAATAAAGTAAAGTATTAGTTGAATAATGAAGGAGAGCATTAAAAGATTTTGAGATACTTGCAAAACAAATTATTAAAACTTTTCTTTAATTTTTTTGTAGATTCTGGACAACCAGGAAGTCCAAGCCACAACGATCCTGCCAAGAATCCACCAGGTAAATATAAGTTTCAGAACATGTGCATCTAAGATTGTTTGAGAACAAAGATGCTATTGTTAATAGCTAAAGGGATCATAATTGGTCAGCAACCTATTTTGCACTGGTAAGTATTTCTAATCAAGACAAGCTGTAACTATTTTAGTTCTTTTAAACTGGCAGTGCCTCAATAGCAGTTTCATCAACATTCTTTTAATCTAAGGAATTTTTCTTTAATTTCATGGTTTTTAGAATTTTTCAGTTGGGGATGGGTAGAGGAGTAAGAAGACAACATCCCAAATAACTTTAATTTTATAAAAGTCTTCAAATGATTCAATTTTTCTTATCTCTCAGATAAGACAAAATACAATTGACCTACTTCTAAAATCTGTGATGTGAGCTACCATTTTTTTTACTCTTTACATGTGCTTTATAGAATGCAAATATGTTAATTTAAAAATATTTTTTGTATCAACTCAGAGCAGTTTTTTGAACATTTTAATGGGTCACACTAGTGACAACTGGAATTTCTTTGAGAGAGATGTCTTATAAATGGTCCTTTCAATGATTCTCTTAAAATAAAAATTCAAGAGAAAATCAGAATCCAGACTTCATCATTCCAATCTGTTTAGACAAAAGTTTCTTTGCATTTTCATGAAATTATCCTTCTCATCTATTGGTTTTTGCTAGTAAATCTTGTAAATCTTTACTGTGTTATAAATTTTATCAGAGTAAAACAAATACATGACGGACACACTATTACTTCTTAATGAGAAAGGAGTGATGCCTGCCACCACCATCATGCTATATCTTCTCATTTTAGCTCTCAGAAGATGTGTGTATCTGAAATAAGCTGCAACTAACTGAGTTTGCTTTTTTTCTAAATGCAAAATGAACTATAGTCTGAGCAGGAAGTAATTGTGATGCTGGGCTGTTACCTATACAGGGTTATTTTCTGATTCTGTTCAAACATTATGGAAAACAACTTTCCTCGTGGCTGTACAGTTTTATACTATGCATACAATCAAAGTGTACTCTACTTGTGAAATATATCATGTGTGTTGCATGTGAATACCCAAAAGTGGGAGAACCATCATAGATTGTTATACAAAAAGGAATATTCCTGTAATATAAACCCCAGATACATACACTTGAAGATTGGAGATAAATTTCAGAGATAAGAGGGCAAACAAGTCAAATAACATAATTACAAGCTCTTTTTCAAGTGACTTTTTTGTTCTTCAAGAAGTGATGTAGGATTGATATCATTTTTGCTTGGAGATTTGGATGTTGTTTCTTTTCAAACTGTGTGCGATGTTAAGAATAGATTTTTATTTTTCTGTTAAATGTGTGCCATAAGTTATGTAGAATAGTGGTTTAAAAACCAAATGCAGCAAATTTACACCTAAAACAAGTCTGAAAAATTTCCTCGTGGATAATCACAGTTTTTTGAAACTTGGAGCATTTAGCTGTAGAGCATTTAATTTTGTTTTAGAGTATCTCTGTGAGTGCAAGAAAAGCCAAATGCATTACCCTATCCCTTGTCATTTTGGAGGATCCTTTGTAGCTGCTGCATTCAGGAAGGTTAAGGCAGGGTCTGGAAACTTAAAATTCTGTTTTTAAAGTACCATTTAACATTTGGACTGGGAAGGTAGAAGTACGTATTTTACTAGTGAGGATCACATCCTGTAGTGAGTCCAGTCTCTCCAGCCCTCAGTCTTAAGTCTGGTGAGGAGTAATCTTGCTGCCATCAACAGAGGCCTGGGGAGGGCAGCAGACAAGCTGTATGGGCTTTCTTAGGCAGACTTGGGGTTCGATATCTAAGATTTGACAAACTCTAGTGTCTCAGAAGATGGAGAGACATAGAAAGCGGAAAATTATATTGCTGATTGCATCATGAAATGTCCTGCTTAAAAACAAGAGCATAACATTTTGTCATGACTTGGACTCACTGCTGCCAGTATTACTACTTTATCTGCTGCCATGTGGGGACAGAAATGGAAGCTGTGCCTTGCTTTGCTTGAAACCCTTCATTTAAACAGAGACAGAGGCATAACTGAATGTCATCTGCCGCAGCATACATGGCCTTCTAGCCTTGTTCATCTTGCCTGTGTGATACTGTCTTGGAGTTAAACTGGCAAGGATTAGTTCAGGTGTTTAGTGTCGAGGTTTGTTGAGGTTACTGAGCAGAATACAGGACTTCTAGGGCTGTGCAGAAGAATGAGAGGCAGTTTCACTCTATTCATCTGGTCTAGGAAAAGGACTACTGTCCTGTTCTTTCTAACTAAACTTCACATGATTCTTATTATTAGAGTCAGGCAGTCACTTCTGTCAGAACCCCAGAGGATATCCACTCTGAAGTTTGTTTTCAGTCCCAGGCCAGGAGCATGAGGACTGGTAGTGCCATGAGAGTTTGTTCTTCTGTCATGTTTTGTTGTACTGCCTGTATGTCATGGAACCAGGCTTCTGGCAAGGGATATGTGCTGTTAGCTTTCAGATGCCACCACCTTCAAAAACATATTGCCGTGGAAGAGGATGTTGGAAACTGAATGGCAGTTGGCAAAGCTGCTGGTGTTAAAAGTGTTTTTTTTCTAGATTTGGCTGGACTGTTACATTCTCTAGGGTGTCTGGTAATTTGCTGTCCTAACCACAGAGAAAGGGTAATGTCACTTGCCAAACAAAAGAACATTAAGAGCACTTGTTGGAATTCTTTACAATATATTCCTAAAAATATACTGGTACATGGATACCCCAATACAGTAGCGAGATGGTGTAGCTTGTGGTGAAAGTGGCATGTAGCTTTTGTAGCGAGATCCAAAGGTATACTCCCCTTAGTTTTATTTTTCAATAACTTTCTTCTGATATGTTTTTAAAGAATGAATCTTGCTTTTCTGAGAGCTGTGTTGTAAAGACTACCTTTCTTCAGAGATTATGAAGTAAATTCCAGACAGATAAATGAGTTGATTTGAACTGAGAAAGGAGAAGAATCTGAACACTACTGGTGTTGCACTGGCCATTAAGTTCCTGATATGTAGAAGTTTGTATCATGCTAGCACAGTTCTAACTATTAAAAGCTTACATGATCTAAAAGAGAGAATAAATATGTCCATCGATCCATTGAGGGTGATCGAACAGATAGAGGGACACCTGGATTAATAAGTTTTAAAACCGAAAATACTTACAGCTTTGCAAACTATCAATAAAAGTAAACAACAACAGGAAAAATCCCCAAATCAAGCCAAGTACTGTAGGCCTGCCTTGTTTCTTACCATTCTGCTGGGCATCTACTCAGAGCTACTGCTGACATGCTGTTTGAGTTTGGAAACCTAGAGTGGCAGTTTCAGTGTAAAGCTGCATTATTATTTGTTCCTGCAAGTCTCATAGGTCTTTTATGTAGCTTACGAAAAAAAGAGCCTTCACATACGTGTCTTGAAATACCTGCAGTGGTGTGGCAGGACATGTCCTGAACACAGAATATGTAGTCTTTCAATAAGTTCACCTGGTTGGCATAAGAAAATTAAGACGATGAGTAAAAAGAGAAAAATATTTAGAACTACAAGCAAGCAAATGATACTGACACCTTCCAGAACAATTTGGTCTCCAGAGATACAGTTCTTACTAGCTAGTTTTTCTAGTTGAGGATTTCCTGAATTTTGTTTTGCTTTATTATTCTTTTCCTTACTGCCTTCTGACCACAACTGTTTGACATTAATAAGGTTCTTACTGTTTGCCATTGGTTTGAGGTTGCTGCTTGGCAGACTTGATTTATTTATTATACACCAGTGTTAATATGGCTGTGTCCAGTTGTTACCTTGTTGCTCAAATCTTTGAACAACCTTTTTAAGCTACTAAAATAAGAGTATGAAATAGCAATACTGATAGAGTAAAATGCTATCTTGATGGGAAAATAAAGAGACTCAATTAAAGAAGGTGTTTCTGAAAGCTTGCAACCAGACTCTTTTTGTACAAGTGTCTTCAAGAGTTTGGAGCTATCCTTGTCCAACATTGGGGCATACAAAAAAAGGTGCAAAGGAAACGTAGCCATCCTGCAATAGACGGTTACAAGCCTTGCTGGTAAGGGAAGACGAGTGTGTTTAGTTTTTTTCCTTTCATCCAAGCACTTGAGTTCAGAGATTATTAAGTCATTAGGTTATATGTTTCCTAGCAAGTAGGACATGGTAAGTTTTTTGGTGGGTTGGTTGGTTTTTTTCCCTTTATAAAACTTATTCCACTTTAGCTGGTTTAAGGAATATTTGCATATGAATTTTGCAGACTCTATAAGATCAGTCAGGGCTGAATGGGAAATGCAGAGGACTTAGGTTTGAGCCTGTGTGCTGATGAATATTAAATTATTTATATGGGGTGACACACTTTTAGACAAAGAGATTGAGAAACTGTCTCTTTGGCTCTTTGCCTTTCATTCCTTCTCACTGCTTCCCTTCTCTCCTCCAGAGTAGCTCATGATACATGATCAGGGAATTTGCCTAGAGATAAAATCCTTAATCAGAGTGAAATGTAGGTAGGTAAATTCCCAACCCCAGCCTCACTGCTCTGAAATTGGTTTTCCCCTCTATTTTCACCAGAAATTTTGTTCTCGGAACTACTTCCAAAGAAGACTGAGTGAAATAACCATCTCTGAAGATTAGTTTAGTTTTTTGTTGGTTTTTTTTTTTTTTTTTTTTTTAGTTAAAGAAGGTGTTGCCAAAAAGCCTGCAATAAGCCTCACCTATCTCTCTATGCATATCTGTCTTGCAGCTGTAGAGCCCCAAAGGGTTTTTTACACTTTCATAGGGAATAGCAGCCATAGGGAGAATATTCCTTTTGGATCATGCCCTAAGAAGTGTGTAATAAATTTGCCTATATATGACTATTTCAGGTAGAAATATTTCAGTTTTAAGGTTTAGAATGCATAGTTTCAGAAATAGCCTAGAAAAGCAATGTAGTCACAACCTCTGCACTCTTCGAAATGCAATAAGCAAGTGTCATTGAGTTTTGAATGGCTCAGACTGCAGATGGTTTCC